AAAAAAAAAAAAGCTTACATTGGAAAAACCTGTTTTTCACCTTGTGGAGAATTGGTGACACATGGCCCTAATATTACTGTTCCTTTTTCTTTTCTTTTCTTTCTTTCTTTTTTGTTTTTTGTTTTTTTTTGTCGGTCACGGGGCTTCAGCTCTGGGCCTGGGCGCTGTCTCTCAGCTCTTCAAGGCTAGTGCTCTACCACTTGAGCTACTGTGCCACTTCCAGCTTTTTCTGTTTGTGAGGTGCTGAGGAATCGAACCCAGGGCCTCATACATGCGAGGCAAGCACGCCACTGAGCCACCTTCCCAACCCTGTTCCCTTTTTCTTGTGGTCAGTTTCCTTTGTGGGGATCTTTGCCACAGACAGAGTAGACCTCAGAAGACACTAGAGCCTGCAGGCCCTGAGTATGTGCTTTGCTAAGTTCTCCAAAGGTGATCAGATCCATCTGCTGAGGGGCGTGTGTAGGACATGGGAAAGGTAGCCTTAGCATGCAGGACAGACTATGGGAATGCAAACATGTCTCATGCCAGCTACCTCATGTACCTCTGACTCTCCATCTTCTGACTATAGGGAAGGACATTGCCCGGCCTTGGAAACTTGTGTACTATCGAGCAAAGAAAATATTTGATGTCAATAATTACAAAGGCAGGTAAGGAAAAGGCTTTAAGTTGAGCATTGTCTACTTGTCTGTAGTCTCTGCCAGTGTTCTGAAACAAAATATGTACCGCACTAGATAAGAGGTAAAAATCATGAAGCTTCTTATGTTGAAACCAGACTCTGGATTTGTAACGTGTGTCTTCAAGGCTCATTTCAATTTCTACCTCTATAGTAAGCCTTTTGGGATCTTCTCATTCCTAAATATCTTCAGCTGCTGCTTCAGACTTTGGTTTTCAGCTAGACATTCCCTGCCTCCTCCATGGCCTCCCCAGGCTCTGCTTACTGCTGTGTTGTAATCATCACCTCCAAAGCTCTCTTCTCAACCTGCTTTGCTGGTCTTTTCTGCCTTTGTTAGCTCAGTGCTTTGGGTTTCTAGTGTGTCTTTGAAAATGGTAGTCAGAATAGTGTTGGCTCAGTTAAGCAATTCAGTAGTCTCAATGCAGAATGTCTCATGGGATTCTTTACTCTCTCCCTTCTCCCCAAGTAAAATTTCCAGAAATAATTTGTGTTCAACATTCCAAAAAAAGGTTCTTTTTTAAGCAGTGAAGCAGAGTTTAATAGAGAGAAAGTACTTATTAAGGGATACAATGGGCCCCAGCTAGATAGCTCAAGAGCCTCTGTGTGTATGTGTGTAGAGAGAGAGAGAATGAGTGCTCTCAGGAATGGAAGTTGCAGACAAAATAGCAGCTGTTCTTTGCTCAGATGTTCTCTTCTTCTTCTTTTTTTTTGGTCAGTTGTGGGGCTTGAACTGTGGTCCTAGGTGCTGTCCCTCCGCTCTTCGGCTCACGGCTAGCACTCTACCACTTGAACCACAGCGCCAGTTTTCTGGTGGTTTATTGGAGATTCACGGACTTCCTGCCTGGGCTGGCTTTGAACCTCGATCCTCAGATCTCAGCCTCCTGAGTAGCTAGGATTACAGGAGTGAGCCACTGACTCAAGGCTGCCTTTGTTCTTTCTGTGCTGGGGGGATATACATGGTCATGACTTATTTCGACCTCTAACCCACAGGCAATGGTTCTGAGTAGCTGAGATGGCTGTTATTTATTATTATAAGATATGGAGACATCTCTAGGCCTCCCCAAAACACAGAAATGATAAATGAACTTTAGGGTTTCCCTTCCTCAGATAAAAGCAGGATGCCAGGCAATTGGTAAAAGTTTTTCGACTACTGCTTCATACTACCATGAGAACACTGTTTCTCATCTTGCAATTCACGCAATGGTGGATTTGTTTCCCCTCTCTCAGGTACAGCAAAGGAGAGATGGAAAAGTTGAAGGCATACCAATCCATGCATGGGAACAACTGGAAGAAGATTGGTGCTATGGTGGCCCGCAGCAGCCTCTCGGTAGCCCTAAAGTTCTCCCAGATGGGCAGTCGTAAGTGGCGCATCTCTGACCATGATCCCACTTTGAGCCAGCACCTGGAGATCTCTGTACTCTCAAGGAACTATGTTCAGGCCAGGGTGTCTCTAGGTCTCTTCACTTTCCTCTCTGTGTTCAGTGAAGCCATACAGCCTTCACTTATTAGATGGATTTCAACCACACAAATTCATTGTCTTGCAGCAGGAATCTAATTGGGAGTTTTCCTGCTGACACTGGAAGCTATCAGGGAACCTGACATAAGGAGGCACTTCTTGGGGCTGGGAAGGTGGCTCAATGGTAGAGTGCTTGCCTTGCATGCATGATGCCCTGGGTTCGATTCCTCAGCACCACATAAGCAGAAAAAGCTGGAAGTGGTGCTGTGGGTCAAGTGGTAGAGTGCTAGCCTTGAGCTGAAAAGCTGAGGAACAGTGCCCAGGCCC